GTTTTTAAATTTAATTTTTTACTAAAGCTTGCGAATTAGCCTACTACTTAATTTTGCAAGTTTCAGTAATGTGATTGCCAATTTCTATTGTTATTAATCGTTTGTATTTAAGTTTATATTATAATTTTTTATTATTAATTTAGGTGTCATTCTTACTGACGCTGATCTGGCAGTAGACTCCGCTATTCGTCAAATATTTTTTTTTACTTACCCTATTCATTGTGCTTATCATATTACCCAGAACTTACATAAGAATCTCAGGAAAGTGCTAGGTGGAAATTATCAAATATTTATTAATGATTTTTATCTTTGTCGTAATAGCCTTGTCGAAGATAGTTTTCAACAAAAATATGATAGGCTTATAGAAGATCACCCTAATACTCAAAATTACTTGGAGTTTCTTTACAGATCAAAAACATATTAGGTGCATTGCTTTACTGGCTTTAGGTTTACTGGTGGCATGATAGCAACTTCTCATATAGAATCTGTAAATGGATGTTTGAAGCGTTTGTTATACAATTCAAATATCTCATTGTGTGATCTTATAGACGAAATTCACAGACTTCTTGACTTACAAGATAAAGAAAATGAATACAAGTTTTGGAAATTGTCAATACCTACTATACAAAGTCAACAAAATGTAAATTTTCTATTTACTAAAGTTGATAATTGTCTTCAAAAATACCTTACAGCTACCTTGTTGAAAATGCATCGTGATGAAATGAATCAAGCTCTCTATTATGTCGCAAATTTAGTTACTCAAGATAATGCTGAAAATACAAATGAGGTAAGTGCCCAATTTATTGAATTTTGGAAGTGGTAGTAGTTTGGTATATAGGTTTATATTATAATATACTGAGTAGCAATATTAATAAGGTAAATATAGGTATTATGGCTGCTATAAATTTTGTAACGAATTAAATAAAATTGAGATAAATTATATTTAATTCACTACGATATCAATAGACTCATCATCATCAATTTCATCATTATCAGTATTTTGTAATTCTTCACTATCAATATCATATTCACCATCTTGAAATATTTTATCACTTAAGTATACTATATTTTCAATGTCAAAACGCTCTACTATTTCTAGATTACTATATTCGACCTCTTCTGCTTCAGATTCTTCAGTAATACCTTCATCATCTTCAACCAAAAAAGTTGCCAACGTCACTTGTTCTTGTAAATCATCAACCGATATTTTTTTACCATAAAAAGCAAGTTCTTTTTTTATATTTGAAACATAAAAAGATTAAACTTGTGCTATAGTCTGAATTCAGGATAAAGAAAGCCGTTGCCGTCATTTTCCGTATAACCAACCTAAGGATGAGAAGGTTCTTTCACAATCGACAGAGTGTGGTGTAATTGAAAAGAGCTTTATTGCAAGTTTTCCAATAGATTGAGACCCAGTATAATTAGTCATCCACCACATTAAGGGAGTATCATTTTCAAATGAATAGGATAAGTCAAATCCATTTTGCTTTTCACGAAATAATCTTATATAGCCTACAAGATTTGCACATTCATATCGATTGTGCCCTTCTTGTTACCATATTTTAATTGCAGTTTGTACGATTGGTTGAAATTGTTCCTTTAATCCAACGGCTAGTAAAAAATTATATTAGTATATATTTAATTAAAAAAAAAAAAAAAAAAAAAAAAAAACATACAAACATATCACGATAACCCGGGTGAAGAAAATATGCTAACAAGTAATGATCAATATTAAAACCCTTCCATCTTTTATTAAAAATTTGTATACAATAATTTTTAAACCTTCTAATTCGTAAGTTTGAAACTT